AACAATCGGTCAACAATTTCATTAATTAAAAATGTAATGCAAGAAGCATAAAAATAATTATTCATTATTAAATTGTTTTTGAAATTTTAATTTACTTCATGATTAAAAAATTAAATAATTTAGAAAATTGAACTTTTAGGCACTTTATATTATTGCGCAGGTACTAATTTCTCTTATTAGAAACTAAATTATGCCATATTATGCAATATTTATTTAAAAAGATAGAAAGTTTCGCGTCGCGTTTAAGAATATTCATTATTCTAAATATTTTGTATAATATACAAACAATATCACAGTGATGACAACATTTATGATTATAGCATATAATTGTTCGCGTACTTTTAACGTGATTTTGTGATTTGATTATTAAATATATTTTATCCGAAATTATACGGAATTATATATTATCATGTAGACAGCTCATAAAAAAAATTAATTTATACACATTTTAATTCGTTTACCATATTATATCGACTTACTATACTGCGAGTAATTTGAGTAATTTTAGGCACTTGTTAGATATCAACATACTATACAATTTTCATATGAGATTACGTCCAATTAAAAATATTTTACTTTTATAGAATTTTATTTCCAATAAAATATTTGTTTTTAAAAAAAATTATACGCACTAGCTATTAAAATTTGTTTCAATTGGCAATTAAAAAAATGTCGCTCATTTTTAATCTTATTTTTGCAGTTTTTTTTTTCATTTAAATTATATTAAATTTTCTTTTAATTCGATCGAAGTTGATTTAAATTTTCAATATTATTTATTTTTTTTTTTAGAGTGTTGAAATATGGATTCTGAGATCACAAATAAGACTTTTGAATATCAATTATATTTTGAATTTGATCAAATTAGCTTAATGTTTTTTCATATGATTAAGCATAATCGTTCGCGTAACAAATCCTTTTCCGCATAGCGTACAAGTATATGGACGTTCTCCCGTATGATAACGACGATGCACGGTGAGCGTCGACGCTTGCGTGAATGATTTGCCGCACATGGCACAAAGATACGGCCTCTCGCCGGTGTGAATACGCTGGTGCACCACGTAATACTTGCGATGCGTGAAGCCCTTGCCGCATACGTCGCAGACTAGCGGTCGTGACCTGTGCACCGCCTTATGTGTGGTCAATGATTCGGCGGTTGCAAACTGCTTGGAACATGAGTCGCAAGGATAAGAAGGTAGGGGCTTGACGGGGATTACAGGTCCACCACTTACACCGCCGCCAGCACCGCCACTGACAACACCGAGATTGCCGGTTATCATCGAATCGATAGGCGATGATACCGCATTCGTACCCGCGACTATCCGATTTTCATTACTCGCCGGCAATGGTCTGTGGGTTTTCGCGTGATGATTATACAAATTGCGCGTTTCGAAGCGCATCAAACATCTCGGACAGGAATAAGGTTTCTCTTGGCCGATCTCTTGATGCATCCTCCGATGACGTTCCAATAGTGTGCGATACCGAAAGCTGGCCTGGCAAAGATCGCAAGCGAATGTTTTTTCCATGTTGCCACCGGGCGATGTAGCGAGATTGGTGGAAGTTGACGCGCATGTGGACATGGGCGTAGAATGTGTAACTTCGTGCATCCTCAGGTGATTTAAAGCAACAAAGGTCCGCGAGCAGATTGCACACGAGTACCGCGGCTGATTCTCGATACCATGCTCAAATTCCGGACGCACGGCGTGACTTGTTCGCATGTGGTAGTTTAGCTTAAGGGTACTTCGGAACTCCAGCCCGCACGTAGGACACGGATAAGACTCAGTAAAGATTTGCACCTGATCAAGCAAAGACTGGTCCGGGCACACGGATTGAAAATGCGGGGGAAGCAACGTCGACGAAAGCATCGACGATTGGTTCGAAAATATCGAGTTGGTCTGTAGGAGATTACAATTGACGGACATACCGGCCTCCCCGATCTCGGGTGAGGGCGAGAGAATCTGACGCAGCATTCCTGATAATCCACCGAAGGTCTCGCCTCCTTCCCTGAAATTGATAAAACCCAAGGACATTGCAACGGAGAACGACCCGTGAGCACACACAACTTTCGTCTTTTGATTCTGTTTTTTGTGATCATTACAAATATATCTTGCATACAGGCGGTGATGAGAGAAAGAGAGGAAAAGAAAGATAGAAAAAGATAGATTTTATGCTTATGTGAGTGCTGCAAGGTGGCCGGTGCAAGGTGCTTGGGCATTGCTGGCATCCCTCTCGAAATGCAGCAATAACAATAACAATAATAATAATAATAATAATAATAATGTGTTACAAGAGCGCATGTGCGAATCGAGAAAGTCATCGCGGTTGTCGTCAAGTCAAACAGCATTGGAAGTTTCATCATCCACTACATGAATATTCATCAAGCTTTCCGAATTCATAAGGCTTATATGATAATAGTATTTAAATAATATTAGACAAATAATTACATGATAAAAATGACTTATTAATTACGCGCGCGACATGAAACGATTTTGTAGAGTCTCATCATATCGTGTCCATTAATAATTAATTATAATTAAAAATATATATATATATATACATTAAATGTATATATAATTAGATATTCCCTAACGATATAGCAGAAGGGAAAAATAAAGATCAAGCCATAAAATTTGGCAAAAAGAGTTTGAGAAAAGCAAAGTTTTACTCAAAAGACTCACTAATGACTTGAAATAGAACATGTTAAAACGCAAATTAAATCAGGTATAGAAAAATCTCACCTTTATGAGCATTCCATTACGATATGGCTTCTTCTTCTCATTTGCACACCGTAAAACAATTTTTCACATGTATACTCGTGTCCAACACATCGTAACATGTTATTTTAACATATCACTAACATACCGAATAAGATAAAAACGTAATTAAGAACAATAAGTACGATAGTCAAAAAAGAAAATCAAACATATTATTCAGTACCAAGTAATGAGTACCAACTGAATTTATAAAAGTTTGACACAATAAAAGCACAAAAAGTGCTATGTATCAATCCTTCATATATCAGATACTCACTGTATTCAAAACTGAACAATACAATTTTCTCCGTCCACAGAAGCGTTGTAAAAATTTATAATATAAAATGATATAGAATCAGAATATTGCGATACAAATATCAAATATTGCAGCCAATTCAAGGCGCAATATTTAACAAAATTTTCACACATTTCAAACGCAAAACCGGCGCGATTATAATGCAAGCCTGGTTTATTATTTGTTAAAAAGAGTTATCCCTCGCGGTATATTTTTTTGCACTTGAAATGAAAACGCGAAATAATACGCGCAATTCAAGCAAAGTGCATAATAGAATAACTGATAATCGCGTTGGGATATTTATAAGAGAATATTCATTCGATACCAAAAAATAGTATTATAAATAATATAATATAATATAATAATATAATTGTCATAGATAATACAAATTCGTATATTAATATTATTGATACGAATTCGCATTATTTTATTTGCATATAAGAGGTCTATAAATAAAATAGAATACAGAATGTAGAAAAGATGATACTCGCCTTTGTGTTTATAAAAATCCTCTTGATTCAGCAGTCGCTTAACGGACGATTTTTTCTTTCATTTCGCAGAAATCTTCGAATCGGAAGAAATACAATCCTTCATCTTCTTCAACATCAAAATTCTTAACCATTCTTAACCGATTTGTTTTTTCGGTTAAAATTACACTATTACGCAACAATTTTATCGTCTGACGAACCATATGTAAAATTTATTAACGATCTCGTAAAACACGTATTTTTTACGTAGATTAGAAGTAACTCTTAAGATTAGTCGTAACACTAATAGAGTAATAGTGTCCTGGCAATATCGTAAAGCGCAGGCGTCGGAAAGCACGAAGATCATAAATAGTAGATATACGTTGCATTAAAAAAATATCTATCGTCTGTGATTTTTTTGGATCGGCCGAATATCGGTCATGTGCGGCATTTAGTGCCATCACGTAAGCGTGGGAATATTAATATCGACAACATGTAAACATTTGATTCATGAGTGGACAAAGAGATCAGGCTGGTTTCTCTCAGGCATCACTTTTGCTAAATGAGAAATTAATTTTTTTGTTATTAATAATTTACTTGAATAATCCAGAGAAATCCCTTTATCCATTTTTTTGCACATATATAAATAATGTCTAACAAAGTCCATTTCGATTAAAGTATAAAAGTAATATCAAGTTCAATAATATATAAAGAACATTATTATAAAATTAATGTCATATCAAGATCGTGTTTGATCGAAATGCACTTTATATACATGCTACCACATGTAAAAGTAACAAGGTGCTTAGCAATTTGTATTCTAAATTCATCGCATAAAACATGTTTTCTTAAATAAACATAAAATCGTTTAAAATTAATGTAAATGTTATAATATATAGAAAATTTATATTGTTATATTTAAATTGCTAAACACCTAGGGCCAAAGATGGTTGTGGGGTGTGTTCAAACTTACCTTGTGTTTACCTGGATGTTACATTCATAAGAATTAAAGCTACAAATGTAGTTGTTGTCTATCTTGCGTTTTCATTTCTACCTCACAGACTCGACAATTCTTTTAAAACTTATTAGCAAATTTTTTAAAGAAAGAGCATGATGCATAATTAAAAACAGTTTAAAACAGAGCATAATATTTCTCATACGCACATTAGTTTTTTTTTCTTTTTTTTTTTAAGGAATAAATATATTCAATATTATTGATAATTTCTATTTTAAGTTACTGAAACTACTTTTCCATAATAATTATCGTTCAATATCGTTAAATTCATTCTATTTATATATGTCGCTGATTTGATAATTACGAATTCATTCAAATTTAAATAAAATTGATAAAAATAATGAGTATAAAATATGAATATAAAAATAATGAGTAATAAAAACCAACGCAATGTTTATGTATAATTGTATATGTTTACCACAACAAATGGCACCTTTGGCCCTTCAACAATAAAGTAAAAACAGAAAACTCACCCAGTTTTCGGATCCACATCTGATGTTTGTGGTATTACTATCTCTGGCATATCTGTAATTTTCTGTTGTTGAAGTCCTGAAGGTCCTGCTTCGTCACACGCCAAAGAAACGTTGACAAATGTTGTAGGCTCAATAGTTCTATTATTAGGATCTTCTTCACTTTCTTCTTTTATGGGTAGGCCTTAAACAAAATTTAAGATTTTTTTTCTTCCTATTTTTTTAAACTTTTTTGTTATTTGCTTAGTAATAAAATAATAGTAATTAAATA